CCGGATTTAAATCCTCTTGATTTTTGCATTTGGGGTTTTCTTAAGTCATTAGTTTATTCCACTCCCGTTGAAAATGTTGATGACCTGAGGAATCGAATTATAGTCGGCTGTGAGACAATAAGAAATATACCAGGAATATTTGCGCGAATACGACAATCAATGAGGCGAAGAGTTGAATCTTGTGTCACGTCTGAGGGAGGTCATTTTGAACATTTGTTGTAGCTTTGCGCCTTTTCAAAATTTTATTAGTGTTATTTTCTGTTATTGTTCTGGTTTAATGTTATTGTATTAGATAGTTCTTGATAATGTATTAAAGAAATAAAAAAATACGCGTTGATGTTTTATTTTTTTGCATCAAAACGGCGCCCCATACGAAGAAAAGGCAAGAGAGATTGTTAGTCACAAATTGACAGAGGAATTCAAAAATGATTTTTAATTTATAATATCTCAGTGGTGTACCATTTTTTCTTTCAAAAAAATTGAGATTATTACCCGTACGCGCGCCAATGATGAACATAAAATTCTTAATTGCGTGTCAAAAATGCGCAAAACTACTTAAACCAAATTTCATTTGCACATCTCGAACGGTTTCAGAGCAATAAATTAAATCGTCAGTTTTTAAGAAAAACTTTGACAGCCCGTATCTCGGAAAACGAATCATTTGCGGACATACGTTTATAAGCAAAGTGCCATTGTTTTCTCATGTAGAATCACCCCCTGAAATTTGTCGCACTTATTTACTAACACCCTGTATAAACAAAAAATCAATTTTTTATACAACTTCAACACCCTGTATCTCGAAAACGGTGCCGTTCCAGACCTATGTTTATAAGGCAAACACATATTATTTTAAAGACATTTATCTGCCCTCGAAGTTTCCTGCATAAAATTCGGACCACCCTGTACATTTCCCCCGGACTAATCGAAATTGTTCGACCACGTACAATATTGAGCACCCAAAATTAGGTCGTATAATAAAAATACCCAGTACGGTTCGTTAATCATACAACCATTGTATATATAAAATTTTATTGTTTGCTTTAAAATTTGACCTGTATATGTACGTACACTGTATAGTATAATTCACGCGGACTTCAGCTTCATCTTGGCCAATTTCGCGGGTTTCCTCAGAATAGTGTTGATCTTGGACAGCTCAGTGAGCGTTCGCTTGATGTACAGGGCCTGCTCCTCGACGTTCTCCTTCTTTATCTTCACGGGGTGCTTCTTGGAATGCGCCATATGCACGTATACGTTCCATACGGAGGACTTAACTTCGTCTATTTCGTTCATTATCCTGACCTGGTGGAAAAATCATTGAGAATTGCAGAAAAGCGCGTTATCGATCTCACCAGTTGACCCACCCTGTGAGAAATGAGCCGTGTTCGCGTTTGGAGCGCCATCTATCGTCTCCGTCGGCCTGACGGACGATAGATGGCGCTGAAGTGATAGTCGAGTGCTGCTAGATCGCTAAAGCAACGCGACCGGTTGTTTGCAGAAAACACTGGGTACTTTACCAATCCGGGTACATCAAATCGTGCTTACGGCGTTATTTTTTATACGCGTCACCAGCTGCTCACACTCGAGGGACTTGATGTTGGCGTTCTCGAACCTCGCCTGCAAACTGGCGATCTGGTTGTTGAGTCCCATGATCACCAGATTCTTCTCCTCGATGATCTTCATCTGAAAACATCAGTTTGAGGTGTAAGTTTTAACCACGAGAGACAAAACATTCGGATATTGACGTTTTATGCCACATAAAATAAATTGCGAGTGTCATCAGCGCCATAGTGTTTGAACTGAGAAGCAATTACGTTTGCGAACAATTATTCTGTAGTGTAGAAATTAGTAAACCAACTTGTAGAATTAAATAAACCACGCTTATTGTTTGTGAAACCTGTGACAACGCCTCACCATGTCGCTCCTGGCGTTTTCCAAGGCCACTAGATTGTCCTCTTGGAAGTGCGCCAACTGGTTCTTGGCATTGACCAGGGACAAGTACCGGTTGATCAGCTCCTGAATATTTTGGAATTCACCGGAGTGCTCGACTACCTCATCAAGGAACACCTAAAAATTTAAAGATCGATTGAAAACGTAGCGCTCCTTGTCTGTTCTTGTGACGAAGGAACTTGAATTCACAGCTTAATAGAGGTTAAAAGTACAAATACTTAAAGCTGTAAGTTAGAAATAGCCCAAAAATAAAAGTACTGGAATTCACAAGTTATAAAAGTGTAGAATTGAAGCACAATAAAAGTGGTTGACTTCTCAAATTACAGTCTACTCCCAGTGGAAGGAGAGGGTAAAAATTAACTACTAAGCTAGCTACCTCATACATGTGGTACTCCTTGATTTTGGCGTCCATGTCCACCTTGGCCTTTTGGATTTCATCGTGGTTCTTCTTCAAACTTTCTATCTCCTTCTGTCTCTGGTCGCACAACTCCACATCTTCCACGATTTTGTGCTTAGCTCGCTCCCTCTTTTCCATATTTTCCCGTACGAACTATGCAAAAGCGTGAACTTTGTTATAATCGACGTCTGAACGGCATTTTTAACTCCTGTTGCAAACTGTAGTATTAAGTGTAAAATTGGTTTGTTCTCACTATATAAAATATATTTTCTGTTGCAGGTCCTCACCGAGTTGAAGAACAGGAAGTTCTCCCGCAGCGTCTTCTCCTTCTGGGCCAGCTCCATCCACTGGTTGTTCAGGTTCTGCCTCGCCTTCGCCTGGCTCCGTCTCTTCTGGCGCAGGATCTTCTCCGTCTCGCGCAGGTTGATCTGCAGCGCCGCCAGGGTGCACTTGGGGTCGTCCTGGCGCACCACGTCGAACTCCGGGTACAACCTGCAGATCGGGATCGATTACGAGCCGCGCGGAAACGCAACGGGCGTCTTCCGCTGTCTCTTTCGATGACTTATAAAAACCAGCCAGGAAAAAAGCCAGGAGGATCTCGTCAACGTTATTCGACATCCGTGAGAGATATTTAAGAAAGTTTTACGTTTTATCGTTGAACTAACCAAACATTTACGCTAAATCTAAGTGACATGATTTTCGAGGAGCAACAGTTCCGGTGCTGCGGAGCCCCCATCGTATATAGTTTATCTGGAAATCTTATTCATATCATATATAAAGAATATTGTGTGTAAAGCTAATCAAAGCTGTTATAGTGGCATCTAGTCTATAAAGGTGCAAGAAAATAAGCAAAATTGATTACAAAGGTTCTAACAGAATCTGTTCGATCTCTTGACCCTGCTGGCATCTTTCGTCATTCGTCGGAACGAAAAAATTCTTGACGCCGTTTTGGAATGGGTACAATTCTTTCAGTCGAAGTCATCCTAACGAGGTTTTGTCGCCGATCTCTTACGTTTTTTCTTGGGCGTTTCAAAACCTTGTTCATCCTGAATCTATTCCATTTCTCAACGCGTAGTTGACCTCTCTTCAGGTCTATCATGGGTTGATTTGCTTCCTCTTCCTCTTTGAAGCGTTCTCGCCCTGAGTCTGTTGCGGATCCAAGTTTTTTAACCTTTACGTTAAAATCGTGGCTACTAAATTCTTCCTAGTTGCAATCCAAGGTTAAGGGCTGACTTTTGAACATTTATTACATTTCTCCAATCTCTGTAACTTCGAAACAAAAGAAAATCGGGCCTATATTTACGTATTTTTTATAGATTTCTTCCTATCGCGCAAAATAGGCCCCTGTTAGTGTTGCTCGAATCCATAAGTCAGGTTGCCAATTGGCAGAGTTTAGATCAATAACTGCGAGATTCAAATGAACAAACTCTGATCAGACTGTGTCCTCAACTGCTTGAAAATTATTCTTTTGGTATGTAAATATTCAAAATGGCCAATTCCTTCCTCTCCGTACCCATCCTTACTTCCCTCCTCCCCTGGCAAAAAATACGTCTTTTCTTCTGGATTTTAAAGGTGTTTGTTTACTAATTTCCTTTGGATGAAATGACGTGAACAAACGCCTTTAAAATTGTAGGGAACGAGACGTAAACTTTACACCTTCACGTTGGTTTTTGCCGATCGACGAGATATCGCGGGATTTTTACGGTACGTAATCATCCCGCGATATTTAGTTGGCTAAGTAAAGATCCCTGTAATCCTTATTGTTTACCATGGAGAAGTTGCCGTATAGAGTTACAATCCTAAGAGGAAATTGGTTAGGTACTGATTAGTTCCGAATAGCTTTGGAAGATGGCAGCATCTGCGTTATTTGATGAAGTAAATGAGAATATAGTGAAGTTAATCAATAATATGTTTGTGACAGGCGTTCTGGGGTAGCTTAGTTTATTAAACCAATGGTTCGGGAGAAAGTATATCAGTTGAATCGATAAATGAAGAAATGCTGATTATTTTTCGTCTAATGAATAAAGTGGCGTTATATCTAAATTTGGTGCGTATTATTTGTTACTATTAAATATTTGTTGACAATATTATTGCCTGCTATTGAAAAGTTTTCGATCATTTTAGGGATGCGCGTAATTGAAAAAAAAAAGAACTGGATAACTCTTTTATTTAGAAAAATGCGTTTTCTTCTACTATGGCAGAAAATAATCAGTAATTTCTTTTATTTCTTCCAACGCTTCAGTTTTTATACAGTCTGTACGATGATTATAGAGATAGAAATCCAAGAAGACCCCTGCGTCACTTTCTCGGAATTATACGCATTAGACACCCGAGGAAGAAAGACCTTAGCGGCATGGCGTTCACCATAACAGCTTGCAGTGCATACTGCGCTTTGCAGTTACGAAGGCATGTTTCTTCGTAAGATGTGCATTTTCAGTGTAATTTATTAAAATAAATCAGTGGAGGTGAAAAATAAAAGAAAGGAATTTAATTCCCAGTCGGAGAGTAACGTGTATAATTATTTTAAGGCAATTTTTTGAAAATAAAATACAATTAAATCTTATCGTAGCTGTTACACCTACTACAGTAATGCAAAAAATTAAAGGGTCAGAAGAATTTCCGAAATTTTTCCGTGATTTTTGACAGACTGTATTTAGGTGAAAAATGGTCTATCGGGAATTAAAAAAAAAACATTTTGAAGCTCGTAAGATTCTAGTTTTTAGATCTTTCGGTCGAATTTTTTTAGGAGCTTCGGTTATCAAGCAATTCTAAGAAATTGCGCGACAAAAAAATTTTGCATTTTCAAGTCCACATACTTGGGAAAATGTTTTTTCAGGTAAGCCATTGCATAGCAGATTGTTTATTCAGCATTGCATTTCATCGAAATATCGGACTTTTAATGGAAAAGGATCCTTTTGTCTTCAATCATCGATATCTCGGCGACAAATGGTCGTACGAAAATGTTTGTTTTTTTTTCATCAATTTGCGGTAAAAATATGAGGAAACCGCAAAAACATTTTTCCATTTTAATTATAATTATGAAGTGTTTAAATTCAAGCACGTGACCCTTTAATTTTTTTTCATAAGTTTGATTGTTTAAAACAAAGAAACGGTTCGTTAGATCGAGATGAAATTTCACAGGGTTCTTCTGGGTATATCGGAACTGTAAAAGTCATGCTTAACATTAGTCATTTTGTGAATATTTCTAATTTAGCCGTCGTTTTTCTAAAAAAAACCATTAATTACCCTTTTTCTCCTGTTTTTTAAAATCCGTGTAAAAGATGAAAAAAAAATTTTTCGAAAAGCTTGTTAGGAAATTTATTCTAGTTTTCGAAACTGCCCTTCAATTCTCTGTACGGCCATTTGTCACCGAGATGTCGATGATTGAAGACAAAACGATCATTTTCTATTAAAAGTCCGATATTTCGATGAATAATGGTCGTATCGAAATTAAAAAAAAAAGGAATTTGAAGCTGAAACAAAAATTTCCAAGTCCATGCTCAGAAAATAAAAAAAAATTTTGTCTTGCTATTTCTTGAATTGCTTGATAACCGTAGCTCCTAAAAAATTTCGACCGAAAGATCTAAAAACTAGAATCTTGGAGCTTCAAAACGCTTTTTTTTAATTCCCGACACCACCATTTTTCACCTGACACAGACTGTATGCCTGTCAAAAATCACGAAAAAAATTCGCAATTGGCTTATTTCCTTGGAATTCTATCTCAACAAGGATTGTACGGACTGTAGTTGACTTTACTAGTTTCTTAAATGAAATCTGCACGTTTATATCTGAAAAATTTTGTTGGATCAATGAATCCTGCTTATGTTTATCGCCCATTATGGTTGCTACTTCTGTAATCAATTAATTTTCTCAAGAAACATCGGGCACCTTTATTCAAATCTTGTATAAAATTAATTAACCATATTTTTGTAACGAGACGTTATTGGAAGATCTTAAACAATTTTTTTTTTAATTACTAACGTATGTCCAAAGAATAACAACATCGCCATGTTTAAACCCTCATTTCATTCAAATGGAATCCGTTGATTGACTCTTCCCAAAGGGGAGGATTGCAAAAGCCTTGTTTACAAACGCGGGAATTATAAAAGAACAACCCAAAGGGTTTTTTTATGGTGTTAACTAATGTTAACCTTGACAACCTGTCACAAAATGGTCTAATCCTAGTATATTACCCATATTTCTGTGTTATTGAAACTTATATGGTCGCCTGTATCATTGAAATTGCAAAATAAAGTAAATAAAACGGTATAACGACATTTTTGTGTATCATTTTCCTGGAAATTCCTCAAAATAACGTTAACAAGTCATCTGGTTGTTTTTTTCTGAAAACATCGTACAGGAACAGCGCCATCTGTGCGTCAGAAGAAGTAAGCTCGCGAGAACAATACTGTGGTAGGAAATATGAGAGAAAAGGGGAATTGGACAGAAGATGGCGCTGTTCTGCCGATTTCTTCCGAATCGACGAAATCGAAACATATTTTGCTATCCCTCAATTTCTTGGAGAACTCAATTTTTATTTGCCGTTTCTGCAAAATAATGTATTTATCAATCAAACTCTTGGTTGCCAAAAATGGACTGTAGATATATGCTTCGTATGTTTCCTATTCCAATTTACCGTTAATTAATTTTTTGGAAACATTTTTATGCAGAAAAACGCATTTTTTTTGTTTTTTTGCTTATAAAACCTAAACTGAGCAATCTGAATACTGTAAAGAGACAATTCGTAGAGAATCGAAATACGAATAAAACGAGATATCGGTCGATCCGATTTTTTTTTGTAATTCGTTACTCCCCCATTTTTTAAGTTGTAGAGCTGACCCTGTGCACAAAAGTAATGAATTACATCTACTTTAAGTGTGCAAAAAGCAGGGGCTGTTGGACCATTAGTTTTGGTACAATTGTAATTTGAATTTTTTGGTGTACTATTTTGCAAAGTTTCTGGATGCGTTGGAGGTGATCCGATTTTAATTTTTCTGCCGGATTTTAAAAGTAGAAGTAAAAATACTACAAAACGCATATTCCAATTTTCCTATAAAATGATGCGAAATGGGTAAAAGATTCCTCCAAACATGCTCAAAAAAAAAGACCGAACGCTCGTACGCGATCGAGTAGTGGGGGCGGATCGGGAGATGAGGAGTAGTGGATATACAGCGTGTCCCACTAGTGCGGGAAAGTCCAATATCTATGTTAAACATGTGGTTAAACTGAGGAATATATGAATTTTTCTTTTTTCTGTGTTGCCACATTTCTCGGAATGTACAAACTTTGGTTTTTTTAAATGGAAACACACATTTTTTATATTTTTTGCGGACTCTACATCAAAAATACTTACTTTGTGTAGAATAGTTCTATTCAAATATTCACAGTTTTTGAGATATCTCGCTTGAAAGGTTTTTCTAGTCGATATTGGCTGCTTAC